ATTTTAACATTTATGTGTAATATGGCAAGAGAGTTTATGTTCTTCTCTTTTTTTCTTTTTCTTTTTTTGGCACCTTTTTAAGGGAATATAATATTCTATGTTGTCTTCATAAACACAACATAGAATATTCTATGTGTAATATTCTATTTTTCATTTAACATTCTATGTTTTTTTTTTTTTTGCACCTTTTTAAGGGAATATAATTCTGGTCAATCCTTATGTGTGTACGTATTACTTTAGTTGTCTTCATGAGAAAAAAAAATGTATTAAACTTACAAGTATTTAACTTAACGCAAGTATTTAACATAAGGATTTTAACTTAACCCAAACAAATGTATTTAACATTTTGTTATAAAAAAAATTTAAAAAAAAATTGTACCATTCTAAACAGAGAAGGCACGTGCCTCTGGTATCTGTTGACCTTTTTCTTTTTCTTGGAAGTTTATATTTTTATTTATTTCTTTTCCTCTTGATTGTAACCCGTTAAGTATTTTCTATTCATGGCAGTTATTTATTTAAATAAAATTTTGAATTTTATTATTCGATTTGGTAGCAACAAGTTTGGAAATAGCATTTCATTGCCAATGAAATCCATGTTAACTTTTATTATTGCTAATTTTTTGTTTCTTTGTGTCTAAAATTTTTAGGTTAAAGTACAACAGTTATGAACAATATCACTATTTTTTGTCAAGTAAGTTTTTTTTCTTCTTTTTTCTCTTCATATAAATTTTAGTACCTCTCTTATAAATTTAAGTACAACAGTTATGGACAATATCACTATTCTAATTATTTCTGTTCCTCATACTTTATAGGTGGATGGGGACTTACACCGAACCGTAATATCTCCTCCCTTTACCAATTTTCTTATTTATGTGTATAAAGTTTTATTTATTACTCTAAAGTTTTTGTATGTATAGGTTCGATTTCTTCAAGAAAGAAATGTTAATGTTGTTATTCGCGATGAGCGTAACCTTAATACTATTCGCATTCATGAGGTAAGCTTAAAAGTCACTTGAACATTGGACATGTATTTTCTTATCATTTTAAAAATAATTTATAAATATATTCTACTTATTTTTTATAGGCAAGGGCAAAGGAAAAAGACAAAGCAATATCAAAGGAAACAAAAAAAGCTATTCCTTATGGCAAAGGAAAGGAAATTGCACATCCCATAGTATGGTTTCTCAACAATTTTTATGTACATTTTTCGAATATTATATAGATTTTTTTAGGAATTACGTAGTGTCATATACTATTTTTTATGTACATTTTTCAAAAGCTTCTTTTTCAAAAATTTATTCAATTCTTTTTATTGAATGTGAAATGTTTTTCTGAAGCATGTTAAACTAAGCATTTGTACAACATGCTAATGCATTTGTATGAACATTAATTTGAATTTTTAATATGTTTATCTATTTGTATGATAAAAATATGTTGCATTTGTACAATATGTTGCATCTACAACATAGCATAATAAAAATATAATAGAAGAAAACGAAAAAGGAAAATAAGAAGAAAGAACAAATATGTGATGAAAAGGAAACTACATAATACAATTTTTTAATTTTTATTTTTCTTATAAGAAGTTCTTAAAGAAAGAAGAAAAAGACAAAAATGCATTTTAATATAACAAAAACAACAAGAAGAGAGAAAAGGAAAGTACAAGACATTACACGCTAATATTCACATTTTATGTACCCAATGATCTAATATTTACCTTTTCAACGTACATTTTGTAAAGAGATGGGTAGTGTCTTAAAACCAATAAGTGAACTCCGCGGTTTAGGAGAAGATGGGGGATGTACCTCTAAACCGGATAGTGTTGGGAGAAGATAGGGGATGAACTCCGTAACCAATTGGGACAACGCTTGCGACGAGAACGAGAAAGAGAAAGATCGAAGGAATGCATTACCCAAGACAACCTTCTTTAACACCAAATTGGTAAAAATAAAAAGAATTTTTTACCCAAGACAATTTTGAATTTTTTACTCTTACTATTACCACTTTATTATATAGATTTTGATTTGTTCACAATCTATTTCTGTAGGCCTCCTCCTACAACTCCATGTAGAAATGTTAGTGTGGTCATCCGTGATGAGCACGACCTTAATGTTATCCGTGTTCGTGCGGTAAGTACAAAATCAAGTCAAACATTGTATGTATTTTATTTATATAAGATTTTTTTAATCTTTTCAATATTTTATTTATATTTGTTTGGCAAAAGATAAAGAAAAGGTCAACCCAATGTCTAAAGGAAAAGAAAAGATGGCTCCTTTCGGCAAGAAAATGACAAATGCATGTCAAGTGGTATATATTCTTTTTTAAAAATATGATGCAAAACTAATCAAAATTTTGAATAGTTAAAATATATGAGTGTATAAAATGAATTTATTGTATTATGTTGTTTTTGTAGAATGATTGTAATATGTTTTCCTGTAACTTGCTATTATTTGTATGTGTTTTTCAAATTTATTTATTCTTATTTTGCATGGATACATGTGCATTTATAATGTACCATCCATAAGTTGCTACTTATATAAAGAAAATAGGAAAAAAGAAACGAAGAAATAAAGAAAAAATATATAAAAAAGGAGAAACTAAATAAGATAGGTTTTTAATTCTTATTTAATATATAAAATAGAAAACAAAGAAAGGGAAAAAGAAAGGGAAAGGGAAGAAATAAGAAGATAGAAAGAATATGAAATAAGAAAAAAAGAAATAAAGATAACACTATTAAAGGTATAAAACAAAATTAAGAGAAATGGAAGAAATAAGAAGATAGTTTCATTTTAAGCACAAAATATTCACATCTTTTGCTTCAATGATAAAATATTTTCTTTTTAGGCACAAAATGATAATGTAATATCAAAAGCTGCATTGGCCCAACGGGCACGGCGAGAGCGTGAAAAAATTGAATTTCAATGCTTGCAACGAGAGCAAGAGAGATTAGAAGAATGTGTTCAACTAAGACAACATTCTTTAACACCAATTCGTCGTGATCGCACTCATTTGGAGTGGGAAACAATAACTGAAGATTCTCAGTCGGCACAAAAACGAACAACAGTTACCCATCATTCTACATATTCGTTTTCTATGCCAAGCACATCTTCAAATTCACAAAGGAATCGGTAAACTACTGTGTCTAATCTTGAAATACATACTTTTACTCATACCGTTTTATTTTACAAAATCTTATTTATACACAAATATCCGTAGGTCTACTCCTATAAATCGATTTCTTCAACAAGATCTATGTACTAATGATGAATTAGAAGATTTGCCTACGAGTATATCAATTGACGCCCGGGCACACAAAGATTCTTGCCGCCATTATCTTGGCAAGATGGATGTATTATGTCCTTATTGTTCAGCCTTACATTGGATGGATGAAAAATTGACAAAATCATCTATAAAGCGTCCCTTATTCGGAACTTGCTGTTTGGAAGGAAAGATTAGGCTACCTTTACTTATTACACCCCCTCCACCACTTCAGGCATTGTATGATGGGAATAATGATCAATCAAAATCCTTTTGAAATTATACTCGAGTGTACAATGCAGCCAATGCTTTTACGAGTCTTGGTGCTACATTGGATCCAAGAGTACTCAGTGGAAGGGGCCCTACATCATTCACAATTCATGGGGAATTGCGACATCGAACAGGATCACTACAACCACAACCAGGACATGATGCGAGTTATGCTCAGCTGTATATCTATGACCCTTATTCAGCTTTAGAAATTCGTAATCGTAGAAATCCTAACTTGAGAAAGGATGTTCTCAAAACTATTCAAGATAGTTTGTTGCAAGTCAATGCATTTGTAGATAAATATCGCCAGGCTCATGCCATTTTACATCAATTAGACTCGGCAGGACACAATCTACATACTCATCTTCATTACAGTTCAACAACTGATCAACGTCGGTATAACCTACCAACTACAGATGAGATTGCAATTGTAATACCAGGTGATGGAACAGAGGTAAATGGAATGAGAGATATTATCTTACATTTCCGAGGAAATAATGAGTTGATGCAAATTAATGAATGTCACCCAGCATACTTGCCATTACATTATGTTCTATTATTTCCATATGGTGAGCTTGGATGGGAACCTGAGTTGAAATTGTGGAATGTTCAGTATGATCGACCTTCAACTGATCGACTTACTCAAATGAATTTTTATAGTTATCGTTTGTTTGAACGACCCACAGAGTATTCAATAATTTTGAGAGGTGAGAAACTATTTCAAGAGTTTTTGATAGATGCTTGGGTTGCAACTGAGCAAAATCGATTGACATACTACAAGCTTAATCAAGGGAAACTTCAGGCTGAGCTTTACCAAGAGTTGTCAGATATGGATCCAGATTATGTGCGACCTGGACAAATTGGTCAAAGGTTTGTTTTGCCACCTTCATTTACTGGTAGTCCTTTGGGCTGCAACTGAGCAAAATCGATTGACATACTACAAGCTTAATTAAGGGAAACTTCGGGCTGAGCTTTACCAAGAGTTGTCAGATATGGATCCAGATTATGTGTGACCTGGACAAATTGGTCAAAGGTTTGTTTTGCCATCTTCATTTACTGGTAGTTCTAGACATATGTTTGAAATCTTTCAAGATTCAATGGCTATCACACTATACAACCAACACCCAGATATTTTTCTTACCATGACTGCAAATCCCAATTAGCCAGAAATTACTTCAGCATTATTACCATATCAAAAACCTATTGATCGTCCTGATTTAATTGCCCGTGTTTTTGAGTTAAAGGGAAAATGTTTGATGAAGAAGATAGAAACAAATAAAGTGTTTGGAAATAAAGTTGCACATGTTTTTACAATTGAATTTCAAAAACGAGGCCTCCCTCATATGCATGCACTTTTATTTCTCAAGGGTCCAGACAAAATTCGAACATGTGCTCAAGTAGACAAATTGGTCTGTGTAGAATTTCCAGACCCAAAAGATGATTCTATACTTTTTGAAACTATCAAATGTTGTATGGTACATGGACCATGTGGTGCTCGAAATCCGCAAGCACCATGTATGGAAAATGGTAGATGCACTAAGAGATACTCTCGAGCTTTCACAGAAACAACAACTATGGATCAAGATGGATACCCTATCTATCGTCGTCGCAATAATGGTCAAGTACATACTGTGAGAGGGCAAGAAGTTGATAACAAGGATGTCGTACCATACAATGCATATCTTTCAAAACTTTTCAACTGTCATATAAATGTAGAAGTTTGTGCCGGAATGAGATTTGTCAAGTATATACATAAGTACATTTATAAGGGTTATGATCGTACAACGATGGTGTTAGGAATGATAAATGAGATTCAACAATATCTCGATGCAAGGTATATTGGACCTCCAGAAGCTGCTTGGCGAATATTTGGTCATCCTTTGCATGCAGAGATGCCAACAGTTGTACGATTGGCACTTCATTTACCTGGAATGCATCGTGTTGTTTTTAATCCAGAAGAGTCATTACAAACGATTTAATCTAGAGCTGATCAACAAATGTCAACTCTTACTGGCTTCTTTGCATATTGTGCTGCCAGTGAAGATGAATGTCCATTCACTTATCAAGAATTTCCACAACATTTTGTTTCTACGTAGTGTTATTGGTCAATAGAAAATCGTAAACAGAATTGGATGGACACTTCTGGTCTCTTACTATTCCAATCATGTAATCCCCATTATCGCAATATAAATTTTTTTATTTATTTGTCACATGACAATCATTAATTATAATCTCCCGAATAATAGTCTTAGGCCCCGTTTGGGGACTTACTTTTTTAGCCAATTAGTCAAAAAGTTATTAAATTAGCCAAAAAGCCAACAACTCATACCAAAAAGTCAAAAATTCTCTTCTCTCTCTACTTTTTGCACATCTTTTCGTAATTAGCCAAAAAGTCATCCCAAACATACAAGTTGTTTTTACCTACCTTTTTAGCCAATTAGCCAAAAAGTTACTAAATTAGCCTGTTCCCAAACGAGGCCTTTGTTTGGCTCAAGTCAGAAAAGAGATGGAAATCAAGAGAAAGGGGATATGCAATTGGTAGAATGTACTTTGCTAGCCCTAATTGTGGCGAAAGATTTTATCTACGTTTGTTACTAACCGTTGTCAAAGGACCAAAGTCGTTTCAGTCTTTACGCATGGTCGATAATGTTGTGCATGATACATTTAAATTAGCATGTGTTGCAAGGGGGCTTTTAGAAGATGATGAAGAATGGATACAATGCTTGAAAGAGGTTGCAGTCATAAAAACTGGATATCAATTGAGGAGATTGTTTAATATTATTCTCACCCAGTGTTCTCCACTAAATCCATGTGTATTATGGAATCAATTTTCAACGCATATATGTGATGATCTTGCATATAAGATTTGTACATTGTTTGTCATTTCTAAACCAACGGAGGCTCAAATTGAAGATAATGGTCTCCATCTTTTGAATCAAATGCTTCATGAATCAGGCAAAAGTTTCATTGACTTCCCACCCATGCCATAACCTACTGCAAATTGGAGTGCAGTAGTTGGTAATCGATTGATAGTTGAACATCAACAACTGCAGAGTGAGGCACAACATGCAGATCCACAAATTACTATTGATTATTTCAATAATGGACAACGAAATGCTTATAATACAATCACTTCTTCAGTTTTTCAAAATAAAGGAACTGTTTTCTTTCTGAATGGGGGTGCAGGAACAGGGAAAACATTTCTATACAATACGATTGCATTAAAAAATAATGGATAGCGGAATGCTTATAATACAATCACTTCTTCAGTTTTCCAAAATAAAGGAACTATTTTCTTTCTGAATGGGGGTGCAGAAACAAGGAAAACATTTCTATACAATACGATTGCATTAAAATGTCGTAACCTTGGGCATATCGTTGCTACTGTGGCTCCATCTGGAATTGCATCACTGTTACTGGTAGGAGGTCGCACTGCACTTTCAACATTTTCCATTCCGTTAGATGTATTGGAAAATTCACTTGGTGGGTTTAGCAAACAATCATTACAAGCTGAGTTATTTAGAGAAACAAAACTCATAATTTGGGATGAAGTTCCTATGCAACATAGACATTGCGTTGAGGCGGTTGATCGTATATTGAGGGATATTTGTGATAGTGAAAAGCCATTTGGGGGTATTACTGTTGTTCTTGGAGGAGACTTTCGACAAATCTTACCAGTTATACCCAAAGGAGTTCGTGAGCAAATTGTGAATGCATCATTAAGACAATCTGTTCTATGGAAGCATATATATATATATATCTTCACTTTGGATTTGAATATGTGCTTGAATCATGAAGGCCATGAAAATGCTACATATATATACCTTGACTTTGGATTTGAATATGCGCTTGAATCATGAAGGCCATGAAAATGCTAATTTTGCAAATTTCTTGATGGAGGTAACACTACTTTAACCTGTATTATATTGATTATTTTAAATTAATAAATTGTGTTTACACTTACTTTTTTATTGATTTCACTTTTTTTTAGATTGGGACCAATCCTCAAGAAATCGTTAACCTTCCATCAACAATACACAAATGTCAAGATTTGAATGAATTACTCTCTACAGTTTATCCACAATTGAATATGATAGAGACGTCAACCCCAACATTTTTAACTGAACGCACAATTCTGTCTGCACGTAACGATGATGCCAGTGACATTAATACTACTGCGTTGAATATCTTTCGAGGGAGATTATATACTTATCTTGCAGCAGATAAAATGTCCGAAGATAATGAAATTGATCCTACCATTACAAATAGATATCCTAATGAATATTTAAATTCATCGTAACGATAATGTTAGTGACATTAATACTACTGCGTTGAATATCTTTCCAATGAGATTATATACTTATCTTGCAGCAGATAAAATGTCCGAAGATAATGAAATTGATCCTACCATTACAAATAGATATCCTAATGAATATTTAAATTCATTGGATCCTCCTGGGTTGCCAACTTTTAAGTTAGAGTTGAAAGTGGGTTGTCCTATAATATTGTTGAGAAACATTGCACCGAAAGATGGACTATGTAATGGTACAAGATTGATGGTTACTAGGTGCGGCACTCGCATAATTGAAGCTCAAATTTTAACTGGAGAAAAGTTTGGCAATTTGGCATTCATACCAAGGATATCTTTGACACCATCTTCTTCAGATATGTTTTTCTAAATGACAAGACGTCAATTTCCAGTCCGATTGGCATATGCCTTGACCATTAATAAATCTCAAGGACAATCTGTGAAATTTGTTGGGGTTGATTTGCGTATACCAGTGTTTAGCCATGGGCAATTATATGTGGCATTCTCTAGATGTACATTCTTTGATCGTATAAATATTCTCCTCCCTAAAGATAATTTGGATTCTACTACAACTATTGTTTATCTTGAAGTATTGCTGTAGTATTCTATGCAGATTAAATGACGTTTTTTTAGAAGGTAACCATGTAGATTTATTTCTGTTGATTATATAACTTTTTAAAAATTTTCAATTTTTAATAATAATTTGAAATTTGGACTTTTGTAGGATTGGACCGAAAAATCCATGGAGCTTAAAAGGAGAAATACGACTACCTTGCTTCGATGGGGATGTAATAAGGTAATTTCAATCTGAAAGTATTTTTACATGTATATTTCCAACAAATGTACTAATTTATATTTTTTTTTGTTTCCACAAATTACCAGATTGTTGTGCATATTCCTCATTGGGGATACATAAAAGTTGATACAAAGACTTTTTGGAAAGTAATGTGGAGGAAGTTTGGGCAAACGCATATTTGAAGACATGCTATTGACACATCTTTTGTAAAGCATATATATTTTTGGTGTATGACAATATAATTTTTGGTGTATGACATGTTAGTGACACATCTTTTGTAAAGCTTTAACCCACTTTTGTAAAGTTTTAACCTACTCTTTTAGTGTGTGATAATATAACTTTAATTTCTGTTTTTTGTGCAGTATTTACACTTTTTTTTACTGCCTTTTATATTTTGATATACAATATAACTTTAAATCTTATATGTTTGTTTCTTAATTTGCATTAAGATTAGGGAGAGTTGTCATTTTATTTGAGTTTTGTAGAGCGTGTAATACAAGCAAAATTGTTATAAGTTCTTTAAGAAGAAAAATATTTCAATATATTTTTTCAATATCTTTATCAAAAAATGACACAAA